TAGACTGTTCAATGAACCGGAGCCTGTTAAACTACAGCAGCACCTAATAGCAGCTACATTTAAAAAATAATACAATGGCTTTCAACAGAGAGCCTATAACATTTTATGTACATTGCAATACCATGTTTGAACAAACAAGTTTGGAAGCAACATATACTGCGGGTGAATGGCAGCTGCTGTTGCTAACCTCTTGAAAATAATAATCCTCTGGTCAAAATGCCTAGCCAGTACCTTGAATACTCTCCCTAAAGTTGACTAAAAGACTGGTCCATTTGGCTGGTTCAGCAGGGACTGCTTTTGATCAATGTGTGGACATCCCTGTTTACAGAAAACAATAGTTTGATTGACTTCTGTTGAAAAAACAAGTTGGAAAACTTTTCTAAATCAGTAGCTACAGCTGCTTACCATTGTACTCTAACAGCAGTGGAAGCCACTGTCAGAACACAATGTATTGGTGGGGGATTCCTCCATCCACCTTGCTTATGTGGGTGTAGGAACCTGTTAGTTTTTATTTTCATTCAGCCTGCTAGCTGAAAGAAAAATGAAATGTGCATAACCAGTTTTATCCAGAACAGGTAAGCACAATAGAAATTCTAACTTCATCCTGACTTTCATTTTCTGCTTCTCATCAGAAGAATGTCACCAGTGGCATCCTTTGTATTTCTTTTAGTACAGAGACAGTCTCTCATACAGATAGGACAATCGAATTGTGAGAGGGCAGAACTTAGCAGCAGGTTATGACACTCCCTAGAACTGTTGGAGCTTTGATTTTCAGAGCTGCCAGCGTTCAACAATGACAGGGAAGTTTGGAAGGCTGATGTAGGCATGTGCAGGTACAATACGGTACAATACACGCATAAAGCAACCTCCCTTCCAAACCCCTATGACATAGTTTCTGGAACTCTATTGTTTCCAGACCACTTTTGCATTTTTTCATAGATAAAAAAATGTGTAATGTGAGTTTGAAAATTCAATAAAGGGCTCTAAAACGCTTTCTTGAAAGCAGAGGAACTATAAATAAGTGTTTTTATTTTTTATAGGAGGCACACTTTTTCTAAAAATGCATAAAAGCTACATTTTCAGCAAAAAAAATACAATAAATTATGTTAAGTGCAGACAAACTATTAATATAATTAAACTAGGTAAATAGTGGTAGAATGATAAACAACAAGAACATTTAAAATTGTATGCTTAACAGCAAAAAGCGAATATCTGCAAACTGGATAGTGGTGATGCATTTAAATCCTTTGCCTCTTTAGCGAGCATTAGACAAACTGGCTTCCTTTGCAATTATTCTTAAACCTTAAATGTGTGTGTTAAAGGCTTTAAAAGGGTATATATTGTATGTCATTTATCTGTGTATAGATTCCATTAAATTATCTCAATGTATACATTTTTTACCTTTCACCTTTTTCTTGCTTAAAGCCAGATTCTAAACAAGTAGTTACATTCATTGTTGAAATACATAGGGGTTGATTTACTAAAACTGGAGAGTGCAAAATCTGGTGCAGCTGTGCATGGTAGCCAATCAGCTTCTAACTTCAGCTTGTTCAATTAAGCTTTGAGAAAAAAAAAACTGGAAACTGAGCTGCAGCAGATTTTGCACTCTCCAATTTTAGCAAATGAACCCCATAGTGTATATGAAAGTGACAAGGATTTATAATTTTCTGGAGCCAGTCTTGCAATCCAGCCACTTCTGTCAGAAAGCATAGATAGCACTACAAGATCTGAACTCATGCCAGACTTGCAGACTAAAAGCAGAAATGTGGCCATCTCTCTGCTCTATCCTCCTATCAGCATGTTTACTGCTTTCACGTATGCATTGCTGAACAGCCTTGTTCTGGCTCTGTGTTTTCCAGCCTCGGTGCTGCTATACAAAGGATAACTGGAGGCTGTCATAAAGACAGTTTTATGCATTTGTAATAGTTGCTTTTGAAAATATATTTTAAATGAGTACAAATCTGCATGAATTGTTTATTTCTATCTGCCTGGAGTTCAGGTTTAATGTCTTTGTTGTGATATCCAGTACACACTGGTGTTTGAGTTCTCATTAGGCCTCCTCTGTTATGGATTGCTTTACTAAAAGCACATTGGCTGTTCCCTTTGAAAGAGAATTGGTGAATGTGGTGACAATTCACTTTGCAAAGAACACCCAAACATGTGCAAATTAAAAACAGTATTTTTGCTTGCATGTGATTGGGTAATGGAAATCAGAAAAGCTTCCCCTCATTCATTAAGGTAAGAGAAGATTCCTTTGCAACAGCCTTTTTACCTTTAGTAAACTACCCCAGAGAGTCCTGGTCAGCAGCAGAAGTTTAATCAGTAAATTGGAGAATGGAGTCTCACCAATATGTCACAGTTTGCCATCCTGAAATTAAATACATGGGTGCTGGGTTTAGAGGAGATCCAAGTGAGAACCAGGGATGTGGGCAGTATAGGTGGGGAAGGGGAAGTGCCCAGTGAAATCACATTCATAGTTACATAGTTACATAGTTAGTCTGGCTGAAAAAAGACACAAGTCCATCCAGTTCAACCATTAAAAAAAAAAATGTTATAATCCTATACCCACAGTTGATCCAGAGGAAGGCATAAAACCCAGCAAAGCATGATCCAAAGTGCTCCTGCAGAGAAAAAAATTCATTCCTAACATATGAAACAAGCTGTTGATTTCCTTAAAAAAACCAACTCCAGCATTGCTGTTTTATTTAAAAATACGTATGCCAGCAACTGATTGAAAAACCAGCATAATTCAGCCCACTTCCTGTGAAATCAGGGCATCAAAGACCCTCCTCCTGAGTGCATGTTATCAAGCCACCTTGAATTCAAAGGAGAATACTGCAGGGTATAATCCCACATCTGTGAATACTGTTCCTTTAACACTTAGGCTCCATGCACATGGGGCGTTTTGATAACACTGGTAACGAGCTGTGTAAAGTCATGGTAAAAACGTGAGTTTTTAAAGCTATTTTTAGTGTTTTTGCATTAGCATTTAGCTGCGTTTTTCCACATTTTTCTACATTTGTGTTTTTAGTGTTGTTTTTTTAACAAAAAAAAACTTGTTTGGGTCCAACATCGCTGGTTTGTAGCGGTTTACCATGTTTTACCGTGTTTTGCCGCGTTTTTCAGCATTAGAGCATTTTTACAGCCCAAAAACTCCTCTAGAAACCCACTAGGCTTGGGTTTTTTTTACAGCCAAAAAACATCTCTGCCAAAAAAAACGTTGATTACAGCCTATGTGCGCATGGACACATAGAATAACATGCTGGGGAGTTTACTGGAGGTAGAAAATAACGTCAAAATCCAAAAACAGCAGCTGTAAAAAGTCCAGTGTGCATGAGGACTTAGGATTTCCCCCTATTACTGAGAACAGAAAAGGAGGAAGAGGAACTGTGATATCAATTGACTAGACTGAATACAGATCTCATTCAATCACTAAAAATTCTGCCCACAATCCTAAAACGCGTGGCAATCACAGCACAATGCTCCGCATGCATTTGGGTAACATTATCCTTCAATGGCACTCTAAATGTGATAAGATTCCGCTGTGGCTGTCAGGCAGCAGGATCATGCAGCAATTGCGGTGAATCAAGCCTTCACAAATCGCGGGAAGCTTGTCACCCAAAAAGGAGCAGGAACTTTTTGGGTGACTAGTGAATGCTCTGCCTTACGGGACATGCAAAATTACATGAAAATCTCTTGTCAAAATCATGTAGCGGGAACACTCATTCCCGCTACATGATAATGTGAACAGAGCCTTACAGGTATGTATAAACTTGTTTTTAAAAAATTAAGAATGCAGAGGTGCTGGGGGGGGGGGGGTCATCTTTGATCTCCAAGACATTTACTGCACATCATTAGCTGAAAAGAGTTAATGTCTTATGGGGTCTCTGTGGATAATGTAATTTGGCCAGCTTTGCAACTGATGGTTTCTGTTTCTGTTTTCACGTTGAACAGACAATAGTTTCTTTTAAAAGTACCACAATTTTCACTTCATTATATAAATTTCCATTGTTTATATAGCACTGACATATATTAAAAAGGTGTATACAGAGTATATAGATACATTCAAATCTTTTCATTGTGTAAATGAGTACACTTGGGGGTTGATTTACTAAAGACAAAGAGACTGTGCACTTTGCAAGGGGCAATTGCACTCTGCGAGAGCAGTTGCTCCAGAGCTTAGTGAATGAGCAGAAGCTCTGCTGACTTCCATCATCCAATTATGTGCAGTTTTTTTTATTTTCCTTGCAAGTGATTGGGTATTCTTTGTAAAGTGAAGCTTTACCTCATTCACTAAGCTCTAGAACAACCACACTTTGCAAAGTGCACAGTCTATTTGCCTTTAGTGTTTACTTTTGCAATAGTATAAAAAAAGCTATAGTCATCTTGAAAATAAATGTTTAAATTCAATTGGAATGTATATGTTTAATGTTCATTAAATCTTTATGGGGACTTTGTTATTCAAATATTATATTTAAATACCGAATTTCAGGTCTGCTTTTTTGAAGCGTAGCCTAGAATTTACTCTTTTTTGATCTTAAAACAGGCCAAAATACACTGACTTTTGATGGAAACAATTTTTATTGTTCTTCTGGAATAATTGGTTTTATTTTCTATGTTGGTATAGATAAAAGAGACATTAAAAATGTCTTTGTTGAAGTGTAGTTCAAATGCTTAATTGTCATGTTGCACTGATCACCGGGTTAAAAGATATGATTGCCCAATTATAGAGTATTAACAGGGTGATTACAGCATGCTGGCACTTTGACATCACAATGTTCAACTAGAGGATTGTTGGTACTGTCTGTTATTTATCACTGGCATTGAATATTGGACAAATACTACTTAAAATGTCATTTAGTTATGACAGTGTTATTTACTTCTGTTTTGATTTCCTCCACATAACAATGTAGCTTTGCTTATGCCATTTTAAACAGTTACACCCTAATGAGTCAATATGACACATTTTTAAAGCATCCCAGTAATTAGCCATCAATTACCTCGATGTCCTCTTCACTTTTGCCATGAACTTTACTGTAGTTAATTGGTGCATCCCAACCTTCTTTTTCACAGAGGGCCTTGTAAAAGGCAGCATTGACCAACAGGCTACTAGTTTGAAATGGAGAAGAAGACGATGCTGTTATGATTGGACTGCAAGAGCCTAAACTGCTAGTCTTGTCATTTAGGCGATTCTTCTTCATGCTCAAGTCCAAAGTTCCATTTTCATCAACTTCAATCTCCGCAGCCTAGGGAAAACAGTAACAATATATTTTAAATTGATGAACAGTTTGTGGCTTTGATAATGCAGCCATGTGGTGCTTTTAAGGGATAAAAGTAAATGCAAGCTTTTATTTAAATAATATCTGATTTAAAAAGCTGCTTTTGATTTACATCACATCAGTTAATGTGTAATTCTTTGCCAGAGTTCTGGGTAACCTCATAATGCTTGCCATCTTTTGCAGCTTATTGCATGTAGAATTTAAATAAGACGCTTCCAGATTTTAACAACAATTTAGAAAGCAAAAAAAAACAAAATCTCAGTTTATTTGAATAAAAAATCAGTCAATGAAAAGCTGCCTGATCTTTTTTGATCTTTTTGATACAATAAAAAAAGTTGACCCAGTTTCATAAATACAGCTTATGCAACCAACGCATATTTCTGTTGTTCTTTCAAACATACACACATTTGAGTTATATATTACTGATACTGTTCATATTCAAAGTACTGTGTTTCCCATTGTTGGCCCTTTTGTATGGAATATTTGCTTGGAAAATTATTAATGTTTCAAACAGTTGGTTTTGCTAGCTACACTATTTCTGGACCTTCTGATTTCTAAAGAAAATTAAGACACAATTCCTATAATTGTATTTAAAATTTCAATAAAAATTATCAAAAGCTAGATAATGATTCATAGTTGTTTTTATATGACTTTTGAAAGGTTTAAAAATTCAGTGTTTGTCAAGTGGCCCCTGATGTGCTCCAGTTTACTTCAACTACCTCCTGACTTGGATATTTACTTATTGCTGGTACCTCCTCAAGTTTACATGTTTTGGAAGCAAATAATAATAAAAAGAAAAAGGCAGTGCTTAACGTAAATCATATGCCATGATATAACCAAATCATATCCCACAATGTGCAATACTTTATATCACTAGAAAAGTCCTTAACAATCTCCACAGTTTCCACCATGATAAATATTCACTCTTAAATAGAAGCAAGTCCCCTTGGGATGATAGATGACCTCCATTCAAATAAATCTAAATCTGTATCACTCTATACCATTTGAGCCCTCCACCTTTGGTAATATCAATCACCAGATATTATGACCTCCAGATTATACTGTAGGTAGATCATAATCCCTACAGTACACAAATAGATAAGGACTCTCCCCAACGTGCATCAGAAGATTGTACTCCCTTATAAAGAAGTCAGAAGTGATGAAATGCGTCAAGGGACGTGACGTCTGATGTTACATATTGACCGGAAGTAACGGAGCGGCCATCTTTACTAAGGTGAAAGCAACACAGGCGGTTTTGGAAGCTGTTTAGAAGCCGTATATTATGGGAATACAAGCATTTTATAACTTTTATCATGTAAGCGTAATCTATTAAAACCTTGATTGATTTATTTGAATGCTACACTATATAGTCCTCTCTTTCTTTCTGGGTTATTCCTTATATGGACGGCATTGAGATGAATATCCTATGAGAGCAACCTTATTCCACTATTCTTATGTTATGCTTGGGGACAAGTATTAGTCCAGTAAGGTGCATGAATTTGAAGGTGGGGGAGAGTTTTACACGAGAGATTATATTTGAGATTATTATACCACATATTTTATTTGGAGGATATTGCACTAATATTAAAATCTTTTTTTAGACGTAATTTTTCCATGACTACTATGGAATGGTCTTGAAGGAACTATTGGAGAATACCTATTGGGAGCATTATATTAAAGGCCATTGTCTATTTTCATTAGGGTAAGAGTATTCACTCTAGCCACTTAGAAGTGCTCACGGGGTGTTCCACAATGTCCCGTGATTCACGTTTATTCACTTTTTTCATATTTTATTCTATATGTTTTGATTATTTGTGTTTATATACTGAGGGTAATACACTATTTCGTTTTATATTTTTTGAGGTACACGGTGGATGCCTATACCACATTTGGATTATTACATCAAAGGAATAAAGAATTGAGAAGATGTACTGACACCAAGAGGGTTTTTATTTTAGACTCCTTTAATCAGTTTGCATCCTTGTAAGATGAATGTCAATCAAAAACACCCATAGAATAATCCTATTTTTTATTTAAATAGAATGCCAATGGAGAGTGAGTGACATGTTAGTCCTGTCCTACTTTTTTCATCACAGCGACTTCCTCAGGAGCTATAGCCATATCTGGGTGTTTTATTTGCTAGCAAATCTGAATTTGTCTGATTATTAAATCACTTATTTTGATTGGCATAAAGAAATAGAAATAATACGGGACATTAGCTACTTATTTTTTCTCATTGGTTGTTTATATCTTTTGAGCTAAGTTTCATTTAACAATGCCTTTTATTTAAGTACTAAACACATCTTTTAAAAGGTCAAGCAAATAAAGCAGTGCTGCATACACCCCTAAAGACAATATGGGAATACAGACTCAGATATTAAATCAGTACTTAGAAAAAACATGAGTACTATAAACTGTAACTAAAAGAGGTCACAGAGCTGGTATATTGGACGGTTGTCCTTATAAATACATAATTTTACCATATTTATATTACAGTACTTTAACTAAGTGTTTCTGGCCATTTCACTACAATAGTTTAATCTGATGTGATAGTTTTAAGTACTGAATTTAACATTGCAGCTTATCCTAGATAATAACTTAGTAACAACATCTTGTGCCATCTGTATAATATCAAATGCATTTGACATTAGTATTAATAACTCTTAGTTACAGAAATCGTGGACATTAACTATATCTGTACCAAATGATCTGAAGTTTGAGAGGAATCAGTGAGTTTTGATTTGAGCATTTTAAAACATAGAAAATGGTTGGGGTTTTTTTTTTTTTTTGCGTTTTAAAGAATACATTTTCTCTTTTACATCGTTTGGTTTTTAAGTATGTCATACTAACAGTGTTGTGAGTAGACCAAGACGTTTAGTAAAAAATGAGTCTACTTTTAGTAACAAATGAGGTAATGTAAAAGTATAGGTCATAATAAACATCTTTTATATATTTTTATCTATTAATTGTCATTTAACATCGTATTGTTACTGTACTGTCTCGTGTACTGTCTCCCATTATAATGTACAGCGCTGAGCAAACTATTGGCGCTATATAAATCCTGTAGAATAATAATAATAATTTAACATAGGAAAAATACATTCTAAAGGGCTAATGGGTAACAAATAATGAAACAATTACAATTAAAATAAGTATTTTACTTTTTTTAAAAAGTACTTGAAATTAAAAAACATTAGTGTTTGAGTAATGTTCAAACAAACATGGAAATTCTCTACTAACAAGCAGAGCAAGAAGGTTCCTTATATGCAGTAAATGATGATAGGACTGGTAAAGGAGAGCCAATGAATATTAACCGCTTAAAGACCGCCCTATAGTACATTTACTGCTACAGGGCGGCCCCTGTGCACAGGATCATGTATATATACATTATTCTGCATTTCTGGGTAGGGGGTGTGCGTGAGCGCCCTACTCGCACCGCTGATCATGGCCCCGTGTGTTAGTCTCCGGGTCCTGGCCAGTGATTACCCGCCGGTGCCCGGGGATTAACGGCAATCACCGACAGGGAGGAGGGCTGCATTGTTTACCAACAGCCCTCCTCCCAGTCAGTTTGGGCACACTGCTGTGGATGGCAATGAAGCACAACCCCCCACCCCCTAGTAAAACACTCCCGTTACACAGTTGCCCCTCGTGTTAACCCATTCCTGCCCAGTGATATTAATACAGTTTCAGTGCTTTTTTTTAGCACTGATTACTGTATTGGTGTTACTGGGGATGTCAGTGACACCAAGTCAGTTCCCCCCAGTGTCAGAATGCCCGATGCATATAAGTCGCTGATCGCTGCCATAGGTAGCTGATCGCCGCCATTATTAGTATAAAAAAAATTCCAGTATCTATACCGCCATTTGTAAATGCTACAGTATAAATTTCACGCAAACCAATTAATTTACACGTATTGGGATTTTTTAAAAATAAAGACATGTCTCAGAATACATTTTGGCCTAAATTTATTACAAAATTTGATTTTTAAATTTTTTTACTGGACATGTTTAATAGCAAAAAGTTCACAGTATTGTTTTTTTCTGAAACTTGTCGGTCTCTTTTTTTATAGTGCAAAAAATTAAAAATGCACAGGCAATCAAATACCACTGAAAGAAAGCTCAATTTGTGGAAAAAAACAGGACATACATTTTTTATTTGGGTGCAGCGTTGCATGACCGCGCAATTGTCAAAGTAACACAGCGCCGTAATGAAAACTGCTTCTTTAACTGCTTCCTGACCGCTCTATAGCAGAAATACTGCTACAGGGCGGCACGGGTTTGCAAAATCACGTATATATACGTGATTCACGCTCCCATGGTTTTCACGCCCCTCCCAGATAGCCTCAGATTGCCGGTCAGTACACCAGTCATCACCTTTAACCCCTTGATTGCCAGGACCACACTCATACACAATAAACCTCCATTGCTAGTATAGTGTCTGAACGGATCAATATCTTTGATCAGATCAGCACTATACCAGCATTCACATTAGTATAGTGTACGCAAAAATGCAGCATTAGTGTACACTGTACCAGCAAAAAATCTGCGTTGATGAGACCCTCGTTATTTTTTCTGGCCGCCTTGCATTCAAGCAATTTCTCACCAGCAAGCGTGCCAGATATGGGGTCAAGATGTATAAGACCTGTGAGAGAGGCAACAGGCTATACATATAAGTTTTGGATTTATGAGGAAAAAGATAGGCACGTGGAGCCCCCCGGATGCCCAGACTACATTGGAACTAGTGCAAGATAGTTTGGAACTTGGTGTCATCCTTTTTCCATATGGGGTACCACTTATACGTGGACAATTTTAATTCAAGCGTGCCACTATTTAGACATTTGTACAATCTTGGAATTGGCGCATGTGACACCGTGTGACCTAACCATATATTCTAATGGTGGGCATACCACACACTTTTTCTGGAAGAGAATTCTTCTCTCTTTTTTTCATTCAGCCCACAGGCTGCAT